TGCAGATTGCGCCTTGGCAGATCTCTAAAAAGGTTAAATCATGGCAATTGGACCAAAGTTTATTAAAAACGAGGCGTTTCATTACTCATCCAAGTAACTTCTTCAGTCAAAACAAAAATTTTGGGTGGGTGTTGAAATGAACCAACTCTTGCCAGTGATACGGAGCTGACTCTGTAAACCACTTAGAGAGTCTGGCTGTGAAGCGGTATATAAGTCTAAATGCTATTGCTATTCGCTAACAACTGGGCTAATTTATCAACTGCAGTGATTCACTTAACAAAATCCTACTTTAGTTGCTACCGCTTCGTTGGTGATTGTGCGTGCGTGGGTGCGCCCTTAACGCTCACGCACCTAATAAGCCAATCAGCTGAGAGGATGAAGAAACGAAAAGCTAGGAGTGACCCTCCCCCTCTCATGTGCTTTTTGGTCTTTTATCCTCTCAGCTGATAGTTGGAGGCTTTTTTTTTTACTACCAGTTCTGCCAAACCGATAGAGATTTTTACTACCGGTTCACCCGAACTGGGCCGAACCGGTAGCATACCACCTCTGTTAACAACTATGGCAAGAAAGACCATAAAATGGGGGCAACACTCACTTAACAAATGTCTCACTTAACCCCAGAAATTTTGGGCTCAGTTGTGGTCATAAGGAGTACCTGTATTGCTCAGTTGCCATTGTTACTCTATCAATATTTTCACAACCTCAAGTCGCAGCTTGCTTTGCTCCGTATCTAGCAGTGGTTACTCCCACTGGATGCAAGAAAATCTCATCTCCCCTCGCTCTTTCAACAATCCGGAATGGATTTAAAATTTCAGACTGTTGGAGAATTCTCTCAGCTGTTTCTACAATGACTGAAGGCTCTTTTTACGCTGTTAAAAAAATAAAGCACTAACCAGGATGTCCCAAATTCTGGGTGAGGAAAAATAGTTTTCAGAATTCAGTTCCTCTTTTTCAGAAAGTTAAAACGACCCTGCAATGCTGATTGATAGTCAAAACAAACAGTTTCTTGTAAGAGAAAATATCAGTTTGAGGACACAGTGACCTCCCAGGTTGCCGCTGTTTATATCGTTTTCTTGCTATTCTATGAAATTTATCATTGGGCAATGACAGATGGTTAGTAACCTTGTTTAATAAGACGGGAAAGATTGTGCTTACAACTTCGGTGCACCAGATGACGGATGCCCTTTAATTCTGGGGTGTTTCTGTTAGTGCAGCCAGTTTAAGAGCTGAAATATCAGTGCTGACTTTCTGCCATGTCGACTTTGTTTATTTTGCTTCCTGTGAGGTGAAGCTGTGAAAACAGTTTTATTTCTAATGCGTGAACTCATCTTTTGGAAGGTGGATAACAGTGTTTAAGTTTTTCATAGCTTTCCAGGCTTCGCTTATCTCGTGAACTCATGAACAAAGCTTGCTGACAGACGGCAGATTCAGCCTGTAGGAAGAAAAATCCAGTTCCAGTTCCAAGTTGGGAATAAAATGGAGGCTGATTGGAAAGAAAGTCGGTTTATTGATGAGCAGAACCACCAACATCATGGGATCCTGGGACAGCTGACAAAATGGAGTTGCGAGTAGGGTGGGATTTTATACCTTTTTAATTTCTGTGGGGTCATGTAGGGGTCATGGCTGGCTCTATAGGCAAAAGAGGAAACACAAATCCTCAGTGTTTGTCTGAGCTAATCTTGTCTTGCCTAATTGCTTATCTGGAGTTTCTGTCTGACCCAGTCTTTCTGAATGGATTACCAAATCTGTATTTATTATTCTGCCTATTTTATTATTCCCCAAAATATTTCATTCTTTGGGGTGGGGTGTTTCCTTTACTTCACCCCTTGCCCTTTTATCTCGACCAGGATGGCGTTTATGCTCCCTTAAGCATTGCTCTCAGGGTCATTGAAGCTCCTGATCCCTTTAAGGTTATAATTGTTAAGATAATCACTTTCTAAAGTAGTGTGTGGTAATGCCAATTTGCATGAGCAGAACATCTTAGATAATAGACCTAATCAGTGATTAACCTTTGGATTAGAAAAATGCACTGTATGGGACCAATGGGATGTAATGGTTAGGAAACTGGATTTAGGACCAGGGGGATTCTGTGCTTTGTGTAAATTCAAAGAGAAGGAAGCAATTATAAGTAGATCAGGTGGCACCCAACCTTAAAAATAGAGCTAGTTGAGCTATGTGTTGTGCTTAATGAAGGAAACCTTCACTAAATCAAATATACGTTGCTGGCTCTGAGGAAAATACACTGGTGTTATTAACAGTAAAACTCTATTAACCATTATGGTTATTTCACTATTCTAAACATGAAAAGTTAAGTGTGAGTGTATGTATGTATGTATGAATGAATGAATTTTGATGGAAGAGTTAGAACCTTCATGGAGGATTAGCTGAGCCATTTGTTACACCTGGTGTACTGTCCAACATTGCTTGCAGCTGAAATGTAGAGTAATACTTTACCCTAATTCTACTTGAGTATCCAATTTAAGATTGGCTGCAAGGGTGAGTCTCTTCATTACGTCATTGGCTTTTAAGAACATCATAGGAATAAATAGAAAAATATCTTTAGATTACTGAAATAACATGTTAGTTTCCCTTTATCTATCAAAAAACTTTTAAAAACTTTTCTGCAGCTTGGTATAGGTATCCAGATGTGTTTTTCAGCCTTGGCAACTTTTAAGGTATTGGACTTCAGTTCCCAGAATTCTTCAGCCAGACAGTCTAGGGAATTCTGGGACTTGAAGTCCACGCATCTTAAAGTTGCCAAAGTTGAGAAACCCTGATCCAAAGACTTTTCTTACTGGTTTAAATATGTATTTTTGAATTATTTCAAGCCGTAAAGTTTGAAGGCTGCTGAACTATAAAGGAAATGATAAGAAAATGATGGGGATAGGGAATTGCAGAGTGTAGGCTCCCAGGTTCCCACTCATGCTTTCCAACGTTCCTAAATTCATGTTAAATTACACCAGAGATTGTTCTGGGATTTTTTACAATAAGTACTTCCTACTTTGACCACAAGTGTCAAACTCAATTTCATTGAGGGCCGCGTCAATGTTGTGTTTGACCTCAGAGGATAGGTGGGGGTTGTTAGAGTTTGCAGCAGAAATTCAAGTCCAGAAAACACGCAGATGACTGATTCAGCAAGTTCATTAACTTCTTTATAAACATAATAATATGAGTAAAGTTTACAATAACATAACATAACACAAGCAAAAACACAGGCGGCAGCAGCAGCAGCAGCTCAGAGCGGAGCTCAGTTTCAAGCAAGCAAGCAAGTTTCAGAATTGACCGCCTGGAGCTAAGACATGCAAAGACTCCTTCCAGCCTCATCCCCCAATTCAGCTCCCATTGGCTGACTTTGTTAACCATGTCTCTGCCAGTTAATGAATATCCTCTGACAGGGATGGCCAGGATAGGCATGGCTGGAATGGGCATGGCCAGCTCGACATCATTCATGTCAGGGGTGCCTGTGGAGGCTCAGGTTTTCGGCTGTGATGGCCTCCTGCAGCCCTCTACCAGCAGAAAAAGGAATTCCATTTTTGCTTATGGAGGCACCGCTGTTCACTGTTTCCAGAGTTTGACACACCTGGCTTAGACTGTGACAAATAGTGATAAGTCTAAGCCAGAAATCAGTTACTGTAAAACATCCCAGAACAATCTCCAGTGTAAGTTGAGAACTACCTGTATCTGCAGCTCCACATCTTTAGCATCAGTCTTGGTGGTAGTTATCTTTCTGAGAGAAAACCACGAAGGGAATTGGCTAGTCTTTCTACCTTGCTGGATTTCCCGATTTGAAAAGTCATCGCCTTAATTCATCCCTCAACAAAGTATTTATAGCCAAAGAAATTGTCAGAAAAAGAAAAATTCTTTGCTTCTGTTGTCCATCTTTTGGTCCCTGCCAAACGGTTGGGAAATGACTTTTTTAAGCCCAATGTGAAAGCAAACTGACACAGGGTTGCAATGAAGTTATTGATGTAGGAGAATCTTGCCAAATTGCCTTGGTGAGATGCTGCGAGTCTCCATTTTTTTTTTGCCTGACAGATTTAAGTAACAGACAGTAATAAATGGAGGTCAAATTCTAATGAGCTTCACAATGATTTGCCTCATGAAAATACTCCCCACCATGCACGTGTGTTTCTGAGCAAGCAAACTTTTCCCTCTCAACAGTGATGACTTTGCCTGAAAGTGTTTCAATCTTTTACCGATTTTTACAATAGAGGGGATTTGATGAAATTGTGGTCTTTGTTGTGGGAAGTCCTGAGCATTGCAGCTGAAGAAATACAGAGATGGCTAGGCTTGGGTTTTGTCCTAAAGTGATATGGGAACTTAGATGTTGTAAGAGCCAATTTGGTCTCGTGCTTAAGGCACTAGGCTTAGAAAGCAGGAGATTGTGAGTTCAAGTCCTGCCTTAGCCATGAAAGCCAGCTGGGTGACTTTGGGTCTCTTTCAGGGTGGTTGTATGGAAAATAGGAAGAGGAGGGTAAAGAAGAGGATAAGTTTGCAACCTTGAGTTTTATTTGTAAAAATAATAAAGGTAGGATACAAATTAAATGAATAACAAGGTTCATATAAGATGAGACAAGGCTTGGGTAACTCGGAGGCCATCTGAGCTGCTTGCCAATTTTCCAATTGATCCCAGTGGTGGGATTCAAAAATTTTTTACTACCGGTTCTGTGAGCATGGCTTGGTGGGTGTGGCAGGGGAAGGATACTGCAAAATCTCCATTCCCTCCCCACCCCACTAACCTGCTTTCCAGCTCTGTTCTCCTGTGCAGGGCAACAAAAGAAGCCTCAGCCAATCAGCTGGGACTCAATGGGAGGCAGAGAATAGATGGGGGCGGGGCCAGTCAGAGGTGGGATTTGGCGATTCTCCGAACTACTCAACATTTCCTCTACCAGTTCTCCAGAACCTGCCAAATACCACCTCTGTTGATACCTTTATATTAAACTCAGTGAATGCAATCTGATATCTCTGATTCTTAATCCTTCCTTTGACTTCCTTGCTAGGGTTTTTCAAAGATGACCGCATTGTATTCTGGACATGGATGTTTTCCACCTACTTTATGGAGAAATGGGCCCCGAGGCAAGATGATATGCTCTTTTATGTTCGCAGGAGGCTGGCCTATGTTGGTGGAGATGGCGTAGAAGAAAAGAAGGTAGGTTGATTAACAAGCTGAAACTCCCAAGAAAGGCCGTTTTTGTGCTCCTTTCATAAATGGCTAACGGGTTTCCTCTTCAGCTGAGAGAAAATTAGAAAGTAGATCAAAGACACAGATACTGATTTCAACTGAAGAGAGATTTCTTTTTTTACTCAGTTAAAAAGAATATATTTATTTGGTGCAAATCTGAAGCCTGGTGTGTTGGCTGGGAACACTGTTAAAACATTATCTTATGACATTGATACAATCCAAGAAATTGATTGATTGATCGATCAATCCACTCATTCATTCATTCATTCACTCATCACAAACAAGCAATTCTTGGTGGCAAATAAACATAAAAGCAATTAAAAGCAGAGCCCAAAAGAGAAAATTAAATACACATACCAGTAGCAGTTAAGAAATATTACAGTGGGCAGATGTTAGCATAGCCAGGAAATGGGGGCCTTCAAACACGCGGGACCCCAGACCCAGACCTGTAACCTTCAAGGCCTTCCAAAAGACCAACAGGGTGTCTCTCTTATTCCCTGGAGGGAGAATGTTCTAGAACAACGGCCCCCCAATCTTTTGGGCACCAGGAACCGGAGAAATGTTTTTCCATGGACTGGAGGGAGCGTGGTTTTGCATGCTGCCTGCATGCTGCGGATGGGGCTTCGCTTGTTTGTGTGGCCCGGTTTCTGATATGACGCGGCCCAGTGCCAGTCCATGGACCAGGGGTTAGGGACCCCTCTTATAGAGGGCAGGCAGAGAGAAACAGAGACAGAGAGAAGAAAATGATTAAAATCGGGTGGGATTCAAAAATCCCAGCAACTGGTTTTCTGCCATGGGCGTGGCCATGGTGGGTGTGGCCTACCAGAACTTCTAGGAGGGCCGTTTTTCTCCTTCCCCAGAGTCCGGAGGCTTCCCTTGAGCCTTCGGGAGGGTGAAAATGGCCGCCCCCGGGTTCTGGAGGCCCTCTGGAAGGCAGAAACAGGCTCGTTTCTGGACTTCAGGAACTTCCGGGAGGGTCGTTTTTCACCTTCCCCAGAGCCTCTGCGCAGACCCTGCACTTATCTGCATCCATAACGGGCTGCGTGGAGACTCCTGGGAGGGTGAGGAGGGGAGGGGCAGGCGAGACCAGCCAGTCGATTCAACTACCAGTTTGGCAAACCGGAGGTAAATTCAACATCTGGTTCACCTGAACCAGACTGAATCGCTGGTTAAAATAAAGAAAAAAATACAGCATTATCCTATGTTGTATAGAAAAATCTTCTGCAGTTATGAATGTAAATTATACACCTCATAAAGATTGGAGCTGCTTTTAAATTTGTGTTCATTTGGACTTTTGACAGGTTTTCCCAGAACCAAAAGAGAATAATGACTCCTATTAATCTTGCATTTCAGCTTTATTCTCTCTACTTGAAAATATTTCTAGAAATGCAGCTTTTGACATACTTTCATACAAATACAGGCAACTATTCAATATATTTGATTTTGTGTTCTCTTTTCAGGTTAATCTCGAAAAGCAAAACTAGTTTGACAAAAGTTCCCTCCCTTTCCCCCATGTGGGTTTAACAAGTCTCACTTGGTTAAATATTTGCTTCATTTGTGAAGCATGAAATTAATGTTTTGTGATTTATAGCCATCTTCACCTGTCACTTCTTAGATTGAATACAAACAGGAATTTTGTACCAATTCTGTTTATTTGATGTAAAATCCCCTTGGGCGTGAACAATATTGCATTTTTGAACTCAGTAGCTCCCTCTTGATTAGTACTGCAATAAAACAGTGTTTGCATATTTAAAGGAATACAGTAATAAACGATTCTAATAATCCTTGTATCAGGCAAAGGATATTGTGGCAAGCAATCAGTGTTAATTTTTATTTATTTGTCAAATTGATAGGCAGCTTCAGTCTAAAAGGTCTCCTTTTTAAATTAGATCCCAAAAAGAATTGAATTGCTTTGCTCTCAAATTGTACGTTCAAATCTTTCTCTCTTCAAATTGCCAGCCTCCAGTTTGAATTAAATCAGAGCTGATTAGAGAAACCTTTCGATGCTTGCTTGCATGCTCACAAAAACATCTGCCTTTTAGTAAAATGTGTAAGTGAGAAAAAGGGCTATCAGAGTCCTCCTGAGTTTTGGCTTCCATAAATATGCATGAAATCCCCTATTATGTTGCCTGCTATTTGGTAATGATGGGCTCACCTAAACTTCAGGCCTATTCAAAAAGTCAGTGTTTCTCAACCGTGGCAACTTTAAGGTGTGTGGATTTAAATTCCCAGCATTCCCCAGCTGACAGGGCTGGCTGGAGAATTCTGGGAGTTGAAGTCCACGCATCTTAAAGTTGTCAAGGTTGAAAAAACTTTATTGGATACACCATCTTGGTACTGAAGAAACAAAACCAGCACAGGTTTTTCCCTCGCAAAGTCTTGCCTAGTTAAACAACAGCTTCCTCTTTTCTCTACTCCTGAGCGATCACATTGTCCAATTATGAGACATCCTTTTGTTATGGGAACAGTCCTTCTCTTTCTCCAGCACCTGCAGTGGTGACCTTGACTCTCAAAATCTCCGCATACGTTCTCAGCATTCCATTTCACCCTTCCCTCCCCATAGTTCATGTGCACAGAGCCGAAGACACAAGCCTGAAGATGACAAATGAGACTTCATCGAAACGTTGCCTAGGTACTTCCAATCTTACGCGGGAGAAAACCCGAATAACCAAAGATCCACATACAAATACCCGCGAGAACCTCAGAAAACATATATATATATATATATATATATTTGGAAACTGATTGGAAGCAAACAGGACTCTGTTAAGCACTAATTATCCAGTTTCTGGCAATATCTGCCACATAGAAAAGGGGAGCAGTAAAAACAACCTGCCAAGCATTTTTGAGATTTTTCTTCAAACCAAACACTAAATAGAGTTGTGTTTACAGCTCAAGGCTGGGATGTGCACTTGTGATTTTTAAATAGAAAGGAAAATAACCCACTCTGAGACAGGAGCAAGCCTGGGCTAGACTTTTTTCTTTCTGTCTAAGCCAACATTTCATTTTGCTGATAGATACAAGCGTGTAAACTTCTCAACTTTTAGAGAATGGAGGTTTGCTGAATTGATGGTGGCAGTGAGAATAGAAATTGTGATATTTGTCCCTAGATTACTGATCTTCCAAGAAGGAGATAATGCATTAATCTTCAGAATACAGATTCATTGATAATCCGCTCATAATTTGTCCAATCTCGGTCTAGCTCTTCTTCATTTGAAATGCTAAGGCGCTGTTCCCTCTTTCTTTGCTGCAAATATTTCACTCTATATGAATTATTGTGATCTCCCCCATTTTGCTTCCCTCCTGACTTTACCTGAACCACAAATGACATTTTATCCATTTCTTCCTGCATTCAAACTAATGAAAACAGAGCTGCTACTTTTTAATAGCATAACTGCAAATTGAATTATAAATCAACCAAATTATAGTAGGACGTTGTTGAAAGGCTTTAAAATGCCTTTCTTCTGAGGGCTCGATTTTCCTGCTGGGAGGGCTCCGGTGCAAGGACACAGACAACTGCTTGGAAGCTGGTTTATTTTTCAGGAAGGCAAGAGATAGCAAGAAGTCTGCGTTCCTGGGGCTAGCCATCTTTGTATAATAAACCCCTGATTTTTATACCTTTTCTCCTTTTGTGTGTGTGTGCTTGTGTTTGTATTTCTTAATGTTTTAAATCCTGTCAGGGGTTGTCTTCATTTCCGCCAGAGGGTAAACTCCGCGGGGTGGTTTGATTGGATTATCAGTTTCATCCTAATGTTTTCTTGTATTTGTTTTGTGGCAATCTCCTGTCTGCTATGGAATTTATTTCGTGTCTTTTGTCTTTTGTCATTTGTTTTGCTGATTTGGCATGACCTGTTGTTTGTAAGGGATTTCTTTTTCTTGTTTCCCTAGCTTTCTTAATTACTTGGCTTTTGTCTAGGGGGCTTCTTTCAATACATTTTATTAAATCTCTTTTCCTATGCAAGTTTGTTTTATGGCTGGCCTGATGTTCCCTTTGGGCTTTTTCTGCTTGGGTGTCACCACTGTCCTCATGAAGTTCCCTTTCCACAACGTGTTAATAGAGGTATTTCCTTTTCCAATGAATTATTTGCAGCTCTTTCAGTACTTGCTGAAACCCAGTGCAATTTACTTATTTGCTTGTTTTCATTTATGTGCCACTGGAATCCAATAATTCTTAGTGGCTTACGCACACACATAAAAGTATGAGACACTCAAAGCCAAACTGCAAGCATAAGTTCAGCCTGTCAAGTGATGTCCACCATCGAAGACCATCAGCTGTATGCTGTAGGCACAATCTTGAAAGCTGAAGCTTCAATTCACTGAGAACATTTACATTTTCCTATGTGGTTAGTTCTAAAATAAACTCTGGATGACCGATAAGAGCTTTTCATATATTTTCCTCTCCGTCTAGGGTGAAAAGTGGATGACACCTCGTGTCACCAGCTATTTCCTTCCTTAGTGCATTATATATACGCCAACACCATATATATATATATATATTATTTGATTTGTCAATCACTTACAAGGCAATAAATATAAGTATAAACATGAGTAAGAATACAGGAAATGGGTACGAATAAATTTGGACAATAGGACAAGGATGGTAGGCACGATGGTGCACTTAGGCGCACGCGCGCGCGCGCACACACACACACACACACACATATGAATGAATGATTGAATGAATTTGTGAGAAAACATCTGTGGGCTACAGGTAGAAGATTGAATCATTGAATTTCCCAGAAATTACTCTGGCTGGGCATCTTCTAGGAATAAGCATATAAACCTTCCATTGTCAGCAGTTTTCATACCCATTTTAGGGAAACAAAATGGGAAGACGTAACTTTGGAAGGACAGAGACCAGGGGTGGGATTCAAATTTTTAACAACCGTTTCTGTGGGTGTGTCTTAGGTGGTGGGTGTGGCTTGGTGGTCATGTGACTGGGTGGACATGGCTTGGTGGTCATGTTATTGGCTGGGGGTGGCCAACTCAATATCACTCACATCGAGGCATGCATCTCCTCGCCTGGCCTCTCATGACTGTGGGGATGCTGCAACAGTCGTAAGTGTGAAAAAGGGTCATAAGTCACTTTTTTCAGTGCCATTGTAACTTTGAATAGTCACTCCACACAAGCAAAGTACCAGCAAAGGAGGGGGGAAAAACTCCAGAGATATTCCTGAGACAGGAAGTCTAATCCTGCCAAGAATGTAATAAGGATTAACAGAGAGGCAGTTTCTATAAGCAACCCCAGAATGTTTCCTTCCTGCTTTCCTTACAGGATTAGCCCAGTAATTTCTTCTAACAACCAGTTCTCTGAATTGCTTAGAATGTTAACAACCAGTTCTAGCGAATAGGTGCGAACTGGTAGAATCCCACCCCTGACAGAACCGTAAAACAGCTATTGAGAAATTTTACTATATTGTGTTGGGGGAGGGAGGGTTGGATTTGGTCTGGATTCCATCAAATTGTTCCAGGCAAAGCCACTGACTGGCCCAACTTCTATCAGTAGATGGAACACAATTGGACCCTAATTCTAATTACACAATGTTTAAAATCACTACAATCTAAATATTGCCTTGCCCAACTTACACATTTGCCCAACTAACACATTTCATTAAAAGACAGAAGCTTTGGTGATCTGCAACTCATTTGATCAGATGCATGGAATAGGTGTATGTAGGGTGTCAGCAATGGGCCTCTGGATTCTGGATAGGACAAATGAGGCAGACTTTCCACAAAAGAAATAATGGACACCCAGTTTGACCTCGGGGCTCAAAACAAGGACAAACTACTGTAATATTGCAGCCTTTCAGCATTTCTGGAAAAACATTGAACAACATCCTTGAGCAAGAGATTGCTGAAGCCACATCAAAAGGTTTCAGGCCATCTCAAAAGATCTCAACAAACACAATGGATTTTTAATATATCACAACTGTTAATTGATAAAGTATAAGCTTTTTGCAGTATTCAAAGGACTTTTACATACATAGCAGTTTTTGCAAGGAACAAAGTCAATATTAAAAGATAAAGAATTCCTAGAATCAAGCATAACCCATAGGGACTGTACAATCTCCATGTAGGTTTCTTCACAACAACATCAATGTGCCTTGCTATTGCATTCTTCTAAGATACTTTCCTGACTTACTTAGCCTGGGCTACAGATCTAGCTATGTTTGTGATCTGACAAAATCATAATCAAAAGATGCCACCACAATCACTAATTTCCAACCTGCTGACCCCAAAATATCAACATTAAATGGAAAATACCAACTTTTCTTAACCTTGTTCAGTTGTTTTCAAGATTAGCCAACCTCTTCACTGTAGAAATCAACATATTACCAATCTGTCATTTTCTTTTGGTGGATATTATAAGCCACATTCTAAATGTAGAGTGTTGTGTAGATATCTCATAAGTGTTATCAGGGTCATTACTTGATAAAGGGCATATAACTTAGCAATAACGTGACAGAAGAGGCAATAAGAGTAAAAATACTAAATGGAAGAAAGATGTTAGACACTACATTATTGAAATCTACCACAGGAAAAGTAACTTTTCTTAAGGGCTATTTGTTCAGAAGAAAGCGATGGGAACCTCTTTCCTACTTCAAATTGAATATATGGGATGAAAATGGAGGACTTAGGTTCAGGTATGAGCCACGGTGGCGCAGTGGTTAGAGTGCAGTACTGCAGGCTACTTCTGCTGCCTGCCGGCTGCCTGCAATTTTTCAGTTCAAATCTCACCAGGCTCAAGTTTGACTCAGCTTTCCATCCTTCCGAGGTTGGTAAAATGAGGACCCAAATTATTGGGGATGATAGGCTGACTCTGTAAACTGCTTAGAGAGGGCTGTAAAAGCCCTGTGAGGCGGTATATAAGTCTTAAGTGCTACTGCTATCCATATTTGACTGGAATGTGTGTGACTTGATCCTGAGCCTGTGAATTAATCACCGTCCTTCCTTATGAAGCTTCTGAACTCCCCAAATATTAAAGATTTCCAGTTCTAGTGTGATTCTTACCTACACCGTTGGGCTTTGTTTTAGCAGGTTGAAGTTGAAGTATACCGCAGAGATTCCAAGAAGCTTCCAGGTTTGGGAGATCCCGATATTGATTGGGAGGAGAGCGTCTACCTGAACCTTATACTGCAGAAGGTGACCTCAGTTTTTTTCTCTTCTCCAAAGGTTGCTGGTGTTAAGAGAGGGGATGCCTGCAATTAGCAGGGTATTTTGAGAATAAGAATGGTACCTTGGCTTGAATTGGCACGATCCACCAATCACTTGGTCATTTCGAGACTTCCCATCTGTTTAAACCTGTAGTAAGGTTATCTGTTCCTCAGCAATTTCAGCTTGACTAAAGACACTACATGTACTCTGATGTTCTCACAGCAGTGCAGAGTGGACAAAGATACCGTGTGTTATTCATTCTCTGCCTGGTGAGTGCCTCTTGGACAAAGCAGCCACTTGGAGTGAGAAAAAAAAAGACTGCTTTTTAAAAATTGTTTGTGGAGGTTTGTCAGTCTTAAATTAGCTTTGGTGTTATTAATCAAAGTGCCAGACATCACACACTCCTTTGTGATTTTGTTTCATTTCCAGAGATTGTAATGATTTATAGAAAGTTGCCCTCCTTTTGGCTTTTCTTAAAAAAACCAACCAACCAAACCTTTGATATTGTTTTGTCCAATTGGGTTTTAATTTGTGATTTTGTCTACCTTCAGTGTTCTGTTGTTGAAACTGAAGCGCTGCCAACAAATTCTTGCAATAAGCCAAGAGCATAAATAAATCTGAGTGGGTTTTTTTTTGTTGAAAACGTTTCAAGTATTTCAGTGTGTTAGGGGGCAAAGGTGAACAAACCCTTTGGATGATTCTAAATTCTAGAACCTGAAGTGAATAGGGTCGAAATATTTGGAACTTTTGTTTGGGGTGGAGGGTTCAAGAGGTGTTAAAGCCTCATGTTGCCCCCACATCTTAATTTTTTTTCCTCTCCTTGTCTAGTCCCAACTCCAAGAACTAATAGATTAATCAGCAGCCCTTCAGCTAAATTTTGAAAACATATTTTTATTTTGTGGGATGAAAGTTTATTTGTTAGGTTTCTATTCCACCTTTGAGGGATTATTTATTTGTAAGGCTGATCGGCAATGGTGTGGTTTTTTTCCCTAAGGAAGAGTTTGAACATTTTTTCTTCAAAGAATATTGATATAATTTAAACTGTCCTATTCCTTAATCTTTTGATATGTCAGAAAGGTAGCTGTGCTGTGAGTTGGCAGATTCAAGATGAAAGGCAACTAACCAGCTAAATTACCAAGTGTTGAATCTGCTGGCCTCCATGGAAATCCCTCTTCCATAACTTTGAGTTTTTCTTCTCCTTTGGCCTGCTTTAAATAACCTTTTTTATGCTCTTCTCTCATTTGAAAGCCACATTGTCATGGCCCAAAGCAGTGTTTCTCAACCTTGACAACTTAAAGATGTCCAATGAAGACAAAGCTTAGGGGGACGCCTGATAGCATTCTTCCAGTACTTAAAGGGCTGTCGCAGAGAAGAAGGGGTCAACTTATTTTCCAAAGGGCAGGACAAAAAGCGACAGATGGAAAGCTCACCAGAAGGAAATCCATTCTGGAAATAAGAAGGAATTTCCTGACAGTGAGAACAATTTATCAAAGAAACAGCTTGCCTCCTGGAGGTATGGAAAATATCTGTGGATATTTGCAAGAAAGAAATGGGGCAACCATTTTTCTAGGATGGAACAAGGACTCCTTTGTTGGGGGGTTGGCTAGAAGACCTCCAAGGTTCCTTTCAACTCTATGATTGCATGATTCTTTGAAGATTGTGGAACCCAAGTCCCAGAATTCCCCAGCCAGCAGTGGGGAGGAATTGAAGTCCACTCATCTTGATAGCTGAAGTCCACATAATGTGGGAATTAAGGTCCGCATGTCTTAAGATTGCCAAGGTTTGAGAAACACTGACTTAAATAATTTTATGACTGGAGGTGGCTGGAATTTCTCTGGATGGTTCGCTGAGCAATAGAGCAGGAAGGAGAATTCACTTGCCATTCAGCAATTGATCTATTGAGTTCAGTGCTCAGATGGATGCAGGACAGGAGGAATGGGCTGAGCCAAAGGGGAAAAATAAAAACCTGAAGTCTGAGAAAGTTTTAGATGCACACAAATTAGGGAAAAGAAGGTTGGAAGGAGAAACGATGGAGAGATAAGAGCCCATAGATCCAAGAAGGGGCAAGAGCTATAGAAAACCTAGTAAGTGACCAGTAGGATTGTGTTGACCTTTAGTTGCAATTGAACATGAAACATGAAAGACTTCTGTGGTGAAGTAGCTTCAGATTATTTCATTAAACGAAAACCGAAGGACCTCGTATTTTCTGTTGGGGGATCTGGACATGTAGACCTAATGAGAAACATGATGCCTGATTGGTGTTTTCATTACCAATACTTTGATTTTCTTTCAGCTGGATTATATAGTGACGTGTGCGGTATGTACTCGTTCCGATGGAGGGGATATTCACATCCATAAAAAGAAGTCCCAGGTGAGTATTTCTGCAATTTGGGAACTTTGAAGGGTGTCTCCTCCTTTTGGCTTCAATTTTGCCCATTTCCCCCACGCCCCATGAACTTACGTTAGGGCGTTCTTATATAGCTCAAGTAGTTTTAATTAGTGATAGCCCCAGGCATAACCCAAGAATAGCGTTAAGGAGCATTTCAAATGGGTTTAGTAAAATCCCCCATGTCAATTTGTCATAATACATTCATCAAATTAAGAGGTAAGCCCTCCTCTTCTTCTTCTTCTTCTTCTGCTTCCCATTTCTTCAAGCCAGACCTCTTCATATTATTCCCAAATCAACAGAGTGACTGAAAGAAATTGTGGGGAAAAGTTCAGGATTCTGTCTGCCTATCAGTCTGCAGGATAACCTCCCCAAACTGAACAGAACACGACCACATTTGCATTGTGAGGGGAAAGGATGGGGAGAGCCAGCAAAAAGAAAAATCCAGTTTGAAAATGGGCTGAATTCGGCTTGGAGCTTATGACAAAATCCATCTTAATGGAGCTGCTCCATCTTAAAGGAGTCCTCTTACCTCCTGGCCACATGACCCAGTACTGAATCGGCTTCCTCCAGTCTCAAGAGACTATGGTATCATGCTATGAAATCAGTAACTGCCACTTTCTGTGTTGTTTCAATGTGGTACGCAAAGCTGGAGTGTCCTCTCCAGAGCACGAGGCCCGGGTATAATTTAATATGGAGGATAAACTGTTACCCAAGCAGCAGATTCCCCCCTCTCCACGTTACTGAAATAGTCTAATGGATTGGCAGAGCCGATACGATTAGTTCCAGCTGCGTCGCAGGAGTTACGCAGACCGTGATTGTACATTTCCCACGTCATTATAGTTGTGCTTTTAAAGTTGCAGCAACGTTTCGGCAGAATCTCATCTGCCATCAACAGGCTTCTGTATTGTGTTCGTCTGTGAGTCAGACTTTTTCAGTTGTTTCAGTTTTAAATTTGGGGCTAGCCTACTGCTGTGCCAGAATGGTTTTTTCTTCATCCTGATTGGTTGGGAGTCTTGGTCTGTGTTTATTGGTCTTGGAGTTTGCTGTGTTCTGCTTGATTGGTGTTTCTAATATCTTCTGTCTGTTTTGTGGCTTTTTTTGTGTCTTGATTGGCTGGCAACATTGTGTTCCTGTATTGGAGGCTTTTAGTGCAGCTTGGCTCCAAGTAAATGGATGGCTATCATTTGTTAGGAAGCTAAGTTTCGTCTGGGTGCCTGGTTGGGGTGTGTTTGAATTGGAGGTATCAGGGGTGATCTGTTTGTGCCCAGGTGTTTGCCTGGCTTGTGGTATGGAGATTTTTTTTGTTTGTGAGTGCAGGCTTCCAAATGATTGACAGTCTGGTGGAGTCATCTCTTCTATTCATGCTTTCAGGTCTTTTTTCAATCTCTATGGCTTCTCTGATAATTCTGTGGCTGGGGTTTTCTATAGTGGCTAGGGTTTTGGTGCCATTGAAATTGATGCTATCACCTGTGGCTTTGTTCGGGAAAATACCCAAACAAAGCTGAATAACATATACATACATACATACATACATACATACATATCAAGCTATATCATATTTTCCAAATGGTGTTTTCCAGCAAGTCTTCGCATCTCCAAGTAAACACCCCATGGACAGCAAGGGCGAGGAATCGAAGATTAGCTATCCAAACATATTTTTTATGATTGACAACTTTGAAGAGGTAGGTCCTTTCTCAGATTGGCTCCCTCGTGTAGAAGAATGTGGAAGTTTTGGGAGTGTGTGTAATTATAAAAATTAACTTCATCTCTAAAAAAATTAATCTGATATGGAGATTAACTTGAATGTGGAAATTTTTGAAATCACATCTTATAACACATCCAATCATTGGGTTTTTCCTAACATAAGATAGTGATAGTTTTTCATGATTTCTACAACACACCAAATTTTCCAGATAAGATATAAATTACTGCAGCTTCTTTATCTCAGTTTTTAACATATGACTTGAGTTATATTGGCAACAGTCATTAATTATGAGGTTGTAATCGAACAATTATATGCACGTAAAATTTCAGAATGATAGAAGATATTGTAATATGGAAAGTTTATATCGTGGTTACTTTGAAGTTTTACAACAAATTTTATAAAGATCCTTTATTTTTTTCTTTTCTTTTTCCTGCTTATTTTCCCCTAGTTGTGTTTGCAGAATAATAGTAATAATAATAATAATAATTATTATTATTATTGTTGTTATTATTATTATTATTTTAATGGCGCAATTAGTGCTGTTCAGGTTATAGATTCATCTGCTTACTTAGAATTTAAATTTACCACTGTAAATTGGCAGAAAACATTGCTACATAAAGGTATTAAATCACTTGCATTGAATATTAATAAAGCCTAATTTTTAAAAATCATCTACTTTTTTGGATTGCATCACAAAACTGCTGGTTTTAGAGGCTTGGAGAAATTGTGCTTAAGATACATTAAATATCCTTTTTATTCCTGGTATTAATTATGATTCTGAGTCTGCCTTTTCACATTGTTTCCCTTATCTAAATCAGCACTTCTCAACCCTGGCAATTTTAAAATGTTTGGACTTCCACTTCCAAAATTCTCCAGCCAGCTAGGCTGACTGGGGAATTCTGGGAGTTGAAGTCCACTCATGTTAAAATGGCCACGGTTGGGAAACATTGATCTGAATGGTGGTTTAGTTTGCAGTAAATTATAGGAAATTGGGGCTTAGGGATGTTTTTTTTACATAATAAAATTACTTTAAAAAAATGGTTAGAAGATTCCGTGCCCCCAGACCTTTTACTGAGAATCTGGTTTCCTGGTATAGACTCCTGCGCTGTTATTAAATCTCACTTTGTCATCTGACTTAGCCATAGGCAATGACAAGTGGCCTTGAGTTTCTCTACAGCTATTTATTTTTTTTCCTTTGATTTATTTGGATGTCTTGTTAGGTATTTAGTGACATGACTGTAGGGGAAGGCGAGATGGTTTGTGTGGAGCTGGTGGCCAGTGACAAAAGCAACACTTTCCAAGGTGTTATTTTCCAGGGATCCATCCGCTATGAGGCCCTCAAGAAGGTCTATGATAACAGGGTGAGTGTCCTTCAGATGGTGAGGTTCAGGGGTGGTCTTCAAAAATTTTAACAAAGCGTTTTCTTCCCGGTTGCTGGGTGGGTGTGTCCATGGTGGGCATGGCCTAGTCAGCCTCCTACACCATGGCGGAGGGGGTTGTTTTTGCCCTCCCCGGGCTCTGGAGGCTTTCCTCGAGCCTCCCAGAGGGCAAAAACAGCTGTGATGACCCAGGGTGGGATACAAAATAAACACAGTCACAGAAACAACTGAAGGCCCTTTTATTCCTTCACTTTGCTTCAAAGCTCCAAATATCCTTGACTGGAGACAAAAAAAACTCCCCCACAAGCAGTTACAAAAAGGAGGAAATGCCATTTAAACTAAAAATGCCTATAAATTATAAAGAGTAAAAACAACACAAACCACACTGAAGCAGTTAAGGGAACCAGGCAAGATAAGGGCTTGAAGACTTCCACAGATAGCGGAACACACACAGGGAAGGACGCCGAACTCAGAGAGGAACGACAGACTAGAGATTTCCATGCTTTGTTTCCAGCACTGGCCCATACCCATGTCCGTCCTTTTAACCAGTTCTCACAGCTGCAGCCCATGAAGAGGATCAAGGCCCTTTCCTCCCTCAGTAGACCACGCCATTCACATCTCTCACTTATCCTCTCCACCTTTTGTGCCCTAGAATGGAGAGGGGATGGGCCTGGGTCTTCCTCTGACTGTCCAGCCTCCTCCACAACCTCCGGAGCCACACTTCCAGTCCCTGTCAGATGTTCCGCCTCTCCCTTGGAGTCAGACTCCAACAGGGGCATGACAACAGCCTCCCCGGGCTCTGGAGGCTCTCTGGAAGCCAGGAATGAGGCCATTTTTGGCCTTCCCAAACTTCCTGGAGGCTCGTTTTTTGCCCTTCCCAGGCCTCTGCGCGCACCCTGCACTTACCTGCATTCAAAACGGGCCGTGTGGTGGCTCCTGGGAGGGGCAGGACAGGGTGGGCGGGGCCAGCCAGGATTGGGATTTGGGGGTTCTCCGAACTGCACCTAATCTTAGCTCGGGGCTCTCCTGAACCCCTGCATGCCCCCCGCAGCCCAGCCCTGGTGAGATTGTCTCTTAGACAAACAACATGGGGCAACCAGAAAGGCTTTCTTGTCTGTATTTAGAGCAGGAGTTGGAAACCTACTTTCAGGGAAAGAAGGACCTTGATGTCTCCTGTCCCTCCTCCAATCATTTCACCTGTTTAAAACAAGACAAGTGTTTCCTCCGCTGATCAAAATGAGAGAAAACAGATTTGTTGCATAGATATTAAATACCGGGTCAGGCCCGGGTAACCTCCTGTAACACAAATGGCACAGACCTGAATTAAATAAGAGAGAGCAACCTAGGAGATATTTTCTGACGGTTAGAACAGTTAATCAGTGGAACAACTTCCATCCAGAGATTGGACAATCATTTGTCTGAAATTGTATAAGGTTTCCTGCCTGAGCAGGGGGTCAGACTAGATGATCTCCAAGGTCCCTTCCAACTCTGTTATTCTGTTAGAAATTTCTCTTAATATTACTTTCTGGAGCCTTGCCACAATTAGAGAACAGTGGTAGGTCCAATCAAAAAAGTCTATCAGGATGGTGATTGAATGTGGGAAAATTTGCTGTTTACTCTTGGAGAGTTGATCATATCTTTCTTTAAGGTATTATGTCCCCTAATGGTAACCGAGGCAAATCCAGTGCCCAACTCACAGAAAATAGCAATAGCGCTTAGATTTATTTACTGCTTCGCAGAGCTTTGTACAGCCCCTCCCTCTCTAAGCAGTTTACAGAGTCAGAGTCAGCCTTTTGCCCCCAACAATCTGGCTCCTCATTTTACCCACCTCAGAAGGAGGGAAGTCAGAGTCAACCTTGAGTCTGGTGAGTTTCGAACTGCTAACTTGCAGGCAGCTGGCAGGCAGCAGAAGTAGCCCTGCGGTACTGCACTCTCATCGTTGCGCCACTGTGGAAAAATTGAATTGAAAGAGGTCCGTGCCAGTTCATGTCAATGATGCAGTGGCTTGAATGTTGACTCCCCTTTGCAGGTGAGCGTGGCAGCCAAAATGGCACAGAGGATGTCCTTTGGTTTTTATAAATACAATAATATGGAGTTTGTGCGTATGAAGGGGCCTCAGGCCAAGGGACATGCGGAAATGGCAGTGGGTCGCATTTCCACGGGTGACACATCTCCTTATGGTACAGAAGAAGATTCAAACCCAGGCTCACCGCTGCATGAGCGAGTAAGTTAACTTTGTTAATGACATTCTCTCCTTTCTCTCCTTTCATGAGCTTCTTGAAAGAATAAAGTATATCAGAGTGTTTACAGCGTGACTACTATTTTGAGAAAACCCAGGAGCAAAACCCAGGACACAGAGTCTTTGTCTTTTAACAGTGGTTAATATACAAGATTGCTATATGCTGTACATACATACACGTGTTAGGCCAATACCAGGCAATCAATCAATCTTCAACTCTACACAGAGAACTACAATGGAGATAGAACATGAGAGAGAGAAAGACGCCCTCACATGGCGTCCCTTATATAGACAGCTTCTTAAAGTGACAGTACCCTGCTGACTCATCCTCAGTTCATCATCTTGGCTTACAGCCTTACAGCATCTGGCCAGCTATTAAATCTTTATTACCTTTACAAAGTATGTTATTGGAGACAGTGCGCCATGTTGTCTCTGCCATTTGTTGCAATTTTGGTCGGCCTTGACCAGAGCATCAGAATAAAATTCAGCACAAGAGGCAATATATTAAAAGCTGTTTCTCAGAATAGTGGAAGCCGATGGCTTGGCTTTATGAGCGGAAATTTCAGCATGCCGTTCAACTCCACTACCGTTCAGCTTAGAAAGCTTCCAAGTGTCAACTAGGGCTGATGGACAGCCAATTGGTCATTTCTGAGTTAAACACCTGAATATTTTAGGGAACCTTGTTGAACAGAGTCAGGGGATGGATCAGTGTCCATAAGTGAAAGTTGGTTTATGTATGCTTATTCAGAACACCAAAAGGTACAGTGTAAGCCACTTTGAATGATAGAACCATTCAAAATAATAATAATAATAATAATAATAATAATAATGAAATGAGTTGGGTTTTTTCATCCACTGGTCTGCAGTTAGAAGGCAATACAGGTAGTCCTCGACTTATGACCACAATTGGGGCCAAAATTTCTGTTGGTAAGTAAGACATTTCTGAAGTGAGTTTTGCCCCATTTTACGACCTTCCTTGCCACAGTGAATCACTGCGGTTAGGGTTAGGTAAGTTAGTAACACGGTTGTTAAGTGAACCTGGCTTTCCCATTGACTTTGCTTGTCAGAAGGTTACAAAAGATGGACACAAGACTCTGGGACACTGCAACCCTCATAAGTATGAGTCAGTTGCCAGGCGTCTGAATTTTGATCACATAACCATGGGGATGCTGCAATGCGAATATATATGCTGAACAAAACTCCGCATTGGCAATAGGAAGGGCATCTGGCCATTAACACACTCTGCTAGCTCCATTCAGTTGCCCAGACTCCACCCCGCAAAGGATTATGGGATCATTAAAAGATGATGATGATGACGACCATGGGGATGTTATAAGTGTGAAAAATAGTCATAAGTCACTTTTTTCAGTGCTGTTGTAACTTTGAATGGTCACTGAATGATTGGCTGTAAGTCGAGGACGGCCTGAATTGGCTACCATCAAAGACGATCAATCTAAACCTCAGCTGCTTCTCACCTGTTGCTGTTTTCTCTCCCCTTCTTAGGTCACGTCCTTCAGCACCCCTCCAACTCCAGAACGCAACAGCCGCCCTTCCTTTTTCTCCCCGTCTCTCAAGAGGAAAGTGACCCGAAATCGAATTGCAGAGATGAAGAAATCCCACTCAGCCAACGACAGCGAGGAATTCTTTCGGGATGATGAAGATGGAGGTGTGACAATTGGGGAGAACGCTTCGGTTGAGCTTGGGGTGGACACCGGCCTTTCTTTATAGCATTATAGGAGCCTCTGTGGCGCAGTGGTTAGAGTGCAGTACTGCAAGCTACTTCTGCAGCCAGCTGCCTGCAGTTTGGCAGTTCAAATCCCACCAGGCTCAAGGTTGACTCAGCCCTTCCATCCTTCCGAGGTGGGTAAAATGAGGACCCAGATTGTTGGGGGCAAGAGGCTGACTCTGTAAATCGCTTAGAGAGGGCTGTAAAGCACTATAAAGTAGTATATAAGTCTAAGTGCTATTGCTATTATGCTAAAAGGCCACGGAGTCAGGAAGGATGAAATGGGATGAATGGGTGGGCAGACGTTTCTGCCTTTTCGGCATCTTGCTTTTGTGCGAAGGCTCTCGATGTTCTTTGAGTTTGCTTCCCAGTGAAAGTGGGAGAGGAATCAAACTGTCCACATTCAGCGGTCTGCTTCTGAATTTTGCTAGGCTGAGAGATTCTCAGAGGCCGGAATGGGACAACTCGCCACTGCCAATAAGCCCCGGACAGCTCGCCACAGCCAACGCGCCACAGGACAATTCACCGCAGCCAATTCACCGCTGGAAAACTCACAACAGGCCAAATTCAACCATTGTATTTCATTTTTAAAAATAATTATTAAAATGTATTTTAATTTTGGTTATTCCCATTTCATTTTGTCCCTCCTTTTGCATCCTTTCCTTAATGATTTTAGTTCACTGTTTCTTCAATATTGTGTAACCTTTGTCCCAATGGTGAGTTGGCTGTGACAAGTTGTCTGTACCAAGTTGGCAACAGCAAGTTGGCCGTGCCTAAGTAGCCATGGCGAGTTGGCCACAGCGAGTTGTCCTCGACCGGGTTGTCAAACTCAATTTCATTGAGGGCAGCATAAGGGTTGTATTTGACCTCAGGGGGCCACCGTGGGCGTAGCCAATGTGGGCATGGCCGGCTCGATGTCACTCGTGTCGGGGGTGCCTGAGCGCTCTGCCAGCGAGAACAGACTCCTGAGTTCCGTTTTCGGCTGCAACAGCCTCCTGCAACCCTCTGCCAGCGACAACGGAGCTCGTTAGGGCCATCTGTGGGCTGGTCCTTTGCTGTTTCCAGGGTGGCCCCACAGGCCAAATCTAAGCACCCCATGGGCCAGATCCGGCCCCTGGGCGTTGGGTTTGACACCCCTGTCCTAGACCTCAGAACCACCCAAAAGCTGTGAGCTGCCAGACTAAACTAGTATGGCTAAATCGGATTTGGAGTTTTTGAATTCAAGGGTGGGATTTGGGGACGACATTTCTCTGCAGACCACCAAAATTTTCTCGCAGACCACTGGTTGTCCCAGGCCCACAGGTTGGCGACCGCTGCTATAGAGGAAGTTAGAGTCTGGGAAGAGGCAGAGTTCACAGCAAATTCAGAAAGTCTTCAATGTTTGGCAGATACCCTCAAAGTCTTTCAGTGGATCTTTGGCCTGCCTGCTTGAGAAGACCCACAGCAGGAGGTTGCTGAGATGCATAAATCATCTCCTCCTCCTCCTCCTCCTCCGTTAACTAAAAATACTATGGGTATTTTTCTTTTCTTTTATTCTATTGCCATAAGTACACATTAAAAGGGGGTGAAAAACAATCAGTGAAAGACTGAATGCAGTTATTGGGTTCAGTTCTTCCTTCCCCTATCAAGGATTCAAGGCTAAAGTCCTTTTTTTGACCTGAAAGATCATTGGAAAAAAGAGAGAGGGATCACTGAACTAAGGAAACATTCTCCGCATAAATAAAGCAAGTTGCTGTTAAATGTGACAGTGAACTGGAGGGCCGGGATTTGACGTCTTTTCCCTCAGCAATGATGTCTGGTATATGGGGGCACTGAGCCAACCAGGCCACCTAGTTTGATTCTTTACAGAAATTCATACGCATCCATTTCCTTCCTGAAGTTGTCTTCTCTCTGACAGATTTGCATAACGCAACAAACCTACGTTCCCGGTCATTATCTGGAACTGGGCGCTCCCTTGTGGGTTCTTGGCTGAAGTTGAACCGAACGGATGAAAACTTCCTCCTCTATGCACACTTGACCTATGTCACGCTGCCGTTGCATCGGATTTTAACTGGTAAGGCTGCTCTGCTTTTCAATTCCTACCTTCTTAAAATTCCTTAGGTACGTATCTCCTGGAATGAATGAAGAGGGTGGAACAATGGTGCTTCTTCTCTGCTTATCCATCAATGAGTTTGATAACCCCTTCACTTTTCCTTCCTTCCTTCCTTCCTTCCTTCCTTCCTTCCTTCCTTCCTTCCTTCCTTCCTTCCTTCCTTCCCTCCCTCCCTCCCTCCCTCCCTCCATATTAAATCTCAGTGCAGATTCTTAAATTTTCTGAAAATTGCCAAGAGTTAGGGAACCCTGTTCTATTCAGAAAATAAAAGCACTGATACCCATTGCTCATTCATCTAACATCTTTCACCTTCAGACATTAAAAGGTAAAGGTTCCTCTTGCACATACGTGCTAGTTGTTTCCGGCTCTAGGGGGCGGTGTTCATCTCCATTACAAAGCCGAACAGCCAGCGCTGTCCGAAGACGTCTCCATGGTCACGTGGCTGGCATGACTAAATGCCGAAGGCACACGGAACGGCTGTTATACCTTCCCACCAAAGGGGTCCCTGTTTTCCTTCTTGCATTTTTACCTGCTTTCGTAATTGCTAGGTTGGCAGAAGCTGGGACAAGTAAAGGGAACTCACTCCGTTACGCTGTGCTAGGGATTCGAACAGCTGAACTGCCCACCTTTCTGATCAACAAACTCAGCGTCTTAGCCACTGAGCCACCACCATGTCCCTTTAGCATGTGTTATAAAAATGTTTGGTGCAAATCTCTGTACGTGCACAATTTAGCTTTCCTGTGAGTCAGAAACTCTATTGGGAACTCCTTTGGAAACAGGGTCTTAACAATTATTCCTGATGGACCCTCTGAAGTTCTAGTCCTAGCAGTCCCGCTCCTCATCTCTGATAAAGAATCCTGTGCCCATACTGGACTCCCATTATCTTCCATCCACATGGCAATGTCTCCACTGGCTAGAGGTAGAGGGAGAAGTAGAGCCTTGGGTTGGGGATTGATGAAGACTTGGAAGATGAGGAAATTTTAGGAGGGTAGTTGCAGAAGAATGAAACTATGCCAACGTGTGTCTGTGTAAAAGGCTTCTGAAGGACAAGAGAATAGCAGCTACTAAGTCAGAGGTTTCCAAACTTGGCAACTTTAAGACGGCTGGCTGGAGAATTCTGGGAGTTGAAGTCCACAGGTCTTAAAGTTGCCAAGTTTGGGGATCTCTGTAGTAAGTCAAGGGTGAAATAAGAATTACCTGAGCCCAGGCCAAGAAAGTAACTTGAGAAAATGTCTCAGACAAGCCCCTCCCTAATTCACCTGAAGGTAAAGGGGGCAGGGAGAAGATTAGAAAGATTCTATTATTATAGCTATTACAATAAAAATAATCTGGACTTATATGGCATTGGTTTTTTTAAAAATCTGATCTGCCTTGTTGGACTGACAATCTGGTTTTGGCCCGGATCCAAATCAGGGCTAATGCGTAAGTAAAGAAAAATGTGAAGTGGCATCTGTGCACCAGATTTTTAGATCTGTAGTTCTATAGATTGACCTGGCTCAGTTGAAATAAAGGCAAATAATTAGTTACAGATCAACTATTTCATTTAAAAGGGACTCACAAGAAGAACTCGCGTAAAGAAGCCAAGAACAATATATGGATAATTTCTAAGTGGTTTCTTTAACGCTGTTTGTCTACAGACAGAATCTTGTCAGACTAAAGCAACTGTATGCAATAACTATAGAAACACTACTAGGAAGGGTCTGGCCTTGTCCTCTTCCTTCCCGCCAGGCATTCCAAGCTCTGCTGTCTCTTTGCCCTCTGAGAAACAGCCCCTCCCTCTTGTGAATCCAGACTACATTCCACCACACTGTTGCTCATAAATGCCTCATTAATGGTCTCCATATCTCTTGAAGTAAATGAAGTCCAAGTATCCCCCGTAGGTTATTTCTAGGTAGTAGAAGAGATGGATTTTGAACCTCCCCCCTGTAACCCTCTGCCATCCTATTGTTATTATTTCTTTTGCCCAGATATTCTGGAGGTGCGACAGAAACCGATTCTGATGTCATAGCCAAGAGCCGTGTGCTGCTGCCTTGGAAAACTCGCAGCCAAGTGCCTAAAAATAAAACTTATCTCTTGCTGTCTTCTGTCACACGGCCGCCACTTGTGTCAGGAACATGACTCTGAAAAAAAAAGGGATCTCTAGGAATTACCAGCCAATCAAGAAGTGCCTCTTTGTTCTTTCCTCCCCTAAGAGAAACAGAACTGGCTCGTATCGTAAAACTGGTAGAAGATTTTTAAAGCAAAATAAAGAAAACAAGAAAACAAGGGGAAACAAAACTAACCCACCACCATCGTAGAAGTAGGGGCTGCATATTAAAAAAAAAAAAATCCCAACAACGATGTTTTACGGACCATTCGTTAGCGTTTACTTTCATAATTTACTTTCATAATTGGAAACCAACCTGTACAAAATGCATTAATCTTTATATACTGTGAGGCAACCTTGCCTAGGATTTCATAACTGATGAGTCAGTGAACATTGCTCTTTTCACGTGCATAAGAAAGCAAAACCTCGGCCTCCTTTAAGGGTTTTAATCGGTTAGGATCATGAAATAGCATAACATCAGCGGGGAAGTTTAAGGGGTTGGAAATCATGGAGGTTCATGGAGGAGCTGAGGGGAATCCAATGGCCAGGTGCCTCTGCTTCTCTCAAAGGGAATATATTTTGTAAAGCCTCGTAGCACAGATGAATTCTGCGACGTCATCTTCACCTACCAAAGATCAGCAAAAAAGAAAAAAAAAGCCCAGCTTTAAAAAAAAATGTCTTTTAAGGGTTGAGATCCGGCATCATTGGCTTCTAGTATTTGGGGGCTTCTGATTTGAGGAAGAATACACTAACTGGAGGACAGGAAGGAAATCCAGAGGAACCTCAGCCTGGACAATTGGAAAATTAAAATGAATCAAAGTAAGTTCCCAAAACCCTTTTTGACTATCCCATCAGCTCAAATGGTTCCCCTCAAACTGACGTGTGTGTGTGTGTGTTGCTGTGGTTTCTCAGTTAATGGAACAAGACTCATTTAACGCTCTCCCCGATGTTCTTCTAGAAATGGGGAGGAGGGGAGGCAAAATTCTGGAGAGAGCGCAGAGTTCATTGTTGTGGATTTGGGATCGTTGCTCAATTGTTTGCGTGTCTGAAGATTGCATAAAAACGTAGCTGTGGTAGAAGAGGGCATTTCACTACTTTCCTGGAAACACATGCATTGATTAATATTATTTTTATTTTAAAATGGATTCTCCTTTAAGTGTTCGAAAGGAGATACCGGCGTATGATATCAGGCGTCCTCCTTCCTTCGTCTTCGATGGATTTGCACTTTTTATTTTAAATGTATAATACAATTTTTTTTTCCTGTGTGTTTACAAGATGAAGCTCAGCCTGTTTACATATGAACGTGTGTACGCGCCTTTAAAAACTCGAAGTGAACCACGCAAGGATTAGGGTGAGGGGTGCCCAGTGTGTGTGGGAGGGGGGGAGAGGGAGAGAAGTGCAACATTAAAGATGGCAGTTGGGATTACATGACCCAAAATCCACTCTTTTTTTTTTTCTCCTTTGCTTCATGGATGCCCTCTTTTTAATCCTACACCAATTCTGGCTTACCTTATCGTATATTGACCATAATATGATATAACCCTTTATAGCAGTGGTGGATAACCTTTTTGGGGCTCCTGTGCCAAAAATTGCGTGCGTGCTTGCACACTTGCGCTTGTGTGCCAGCACCCAGAAGGCAATGCGTGCCCCCCTACAACCCCTATGCATGCCCCACCCCCTTACCTGCATTGCGCCTCACAGCTGATTTTTGGGCGGTTTGAGACCTTTTTCGGCCTCCTAGAGGCTTGAGGAAGGCTTCTGCAGGCTTTGCAGGCCGAAAACTAGGCCCATTTTGTCACTTCCGGTATTTCCAGAAAAACAGGAAGGCCTAGTTTTCGGCTTGCAAAGCCTGCAGAAGCCTTCCTCAAGCCTCTGGGAGGCTGAAAAGGCCTCAAACTGGCCAAAAATCAATTCTGAGGCGCACACATGCACAGTGAGGTAAGTTTGCCTGCAACTCATATGCCAGCACAAATGGCTCTGCATGCCACCTGTGGCACGCATGCCATAGGTTCGCCATCACAGCTTTATAGCCTCTTTGCTACTAATCCAGTCAGGTTTCTTTACTAATTATAGACCTGTCCTAATCCAAAATCTCCCTTTGGGTGAAAAAAATCCTCCTTAGGCGATCATAGAATCCTCAACCAGCAATTCACCCCAAAGAAAGCTTCATCTAGATCAGGGTTCTCCAACCTTGGTAACTTTAAAACTTGTGGACTTCAGTTCCCAGAATTCCTCAAGCAACAAGGCATGGCTGGCTGAGGAATTCTGGGAGTTGAAGTCCACAAGTCTTAAAGGTTGGAGAACCCGAATCTAGATGCCTTCCTCAGCAAGATTTGAATTCACCTGCTCATTGGCTGGGGAAATGCGTGTGGCTTGTTCACTGCAGGTATATTCTGGATGGAAGAGACTTGAGTTTTAAAGCCACTCCTTGTTCTTAGCTCTTTAACTTTGAGGTGTAGCTAAGAAGAAGAGGACGATGTGGTTTTGCTGGGCCTGCAACACCACTGACTAGAGAGAGTTAATTTAACCTTGTGCAAGTTAGGGCTTGCTAAATCCGATTGTATCTATTGATTCCATTTTATTTACAACACAGATACTCCCCATTTTATTAAACAGGTTGTGGGAACCGAGTCTGAAGTTTGGTTTAATAAGGATAAACTGACTTCCCACTGAATTTCATGCCTTAAGCTCATTCAGTTTGTAGCCAGTTGCTCTTTGTAGGAGTGCGTCCCTGCAAGATGCCTAGCTGAACAAATTGCTTGGCAGCTCAGAAGGGTGTGAGAAAATGAAAAGCACCCCTGGGTAAGTTCTCTGGATATAAGCCTGAATAAACACAGATGGACTTTGATTTTATTGGGAGTTGTTGCAAGCCAGCAGAAAGCTGAATATCATTTTGCTGGTGGAGAGCCTGTGAAGGTCAGAAATAGGATCACCTAAACCAGGGGTTGCCAACCTTTTGGACCTCAGGGAACACCAGGCTCATAATTTTAAATCCTGCAGACTGGAGACCCTGGGAAAATCCCCCCCTCCCCTCCCCAAAAAAATTTCTGCAGGGAAATTCCCCACCCCGTTTTCCTACCAATCGATCATTCTTTATTTGGGATCACAGGATACCGTCTCCAGCTCCATTCTTGGAGGGAAGGAGGGACGGAGGGAGGGAGGGAAAGAGAGAGACTTTTGGCTTCATGCAAGGAAAGCAGCAGAAGCAGCAGAAGTCTTTCTTTCTCTCCCCCAAACTCTGCCAGAAATGAGTCTTTGTGAGACTTGTCGTGCTGGTGCAGCCTCTGGGAGCAGGATGCCTTGCAGGGTCCCAAAGACTCATTTCTGGCAGAGTTTGGGGGAGAGAAAGAAAGACGTTGGCTGCTTTCCTTGCATGCAGCCAAAAGCAGAAGAAAGAAGCAGAAAGAAGCAGCCCGGTGGCTGGGCCAGGTGCTTGGGGTAAGTGGGACAAGTCCCCCCACCCCCACTGGCCTTTCCCCCTCCCCTCACTACGTCGTGTTCGCAATGCAAGCGACGCAAACCTTGTGTTCCCACGGACTATGTGGGCGGCGCAGCCTTGTGTTCCCGTGCAGCCTGGATTAATTGCTTTGGGGGTGACATTTTTCTGTGGACCATCAAATTTTTCTCATGGCCCACCAGTGGTTCCTGGGCGACCACTGACATAAACTACCATCACTCAAGGTCTCTGAAGCTCCTTTTCTGCATTGAGGCTCCTGGCAAGACTTGGTCAAGAAGCAGTGTTGGCTTCAGGGTTTAATGAGTATGGTGATGTAGACCAAGGGTCTCCAACCTTGGCAACTTTAAGGCATGCAGCCAATTCCCGGCTTTGCTGGCTGTGGAACTCGGGGAGTTGAAGTCCACAAGTCTTAAAGTTGCCAAGGTGGGGGACCCCTGCTCTAGACAACAAATTTCTTGACATTTCATCAGCAACTGTGGATGACATCTTCAGACTTTGAGCAAGACAAACATTACCTCCTGGACATAGGGAGGCCTCCAACCCTTTTAGCCTCCCATAAGGCTTTATAGACCCCAGGTTTTCCCCCCACATTGTTGGGAGAAGATTTGATGATGGCATGGAAGCATCGATTGGGGCCCGATTTTTAATTTTTAACATTTTATGATTTGACTGGTTGAGTGTTATAGTTGATTTTGTACATCATTTTAAACAAATACATTTCTGCCCTACATAGAAAAGGCCATTGATCCAACAGCTAAAAAAATTAGAAAAGGGCAATGTTAAAGTCATCTAAAGGTTGTCTTAAGAAAATCCAGGAAATCCTTTGATCAACCAAGGATGGTAGAGACCCGTTCACAGCATTTGGGGTTTGTTGCATCCCCGGTAGCTGTGGATATTGGGTCATAAAACAGTTTCCACATCTGATTGGAAGAACACAAGAAGCATGCCAAATTAAGACAGACTGAAAAAATCATCAGTGGGAATATGTGCTACAACATAGTGATCACATCAGGCGTCCTCTCCTACCCCAATGCAGGACCAACCAAAAATCATCTCCCAAAACTGTGCAAAACAGAAACTTCCTTGGACCAGGATCCAGTTAGGACACAGCTGCTGAGATTAACCAATCAGAACCTACAACCAATCAGTAGCCAGCATAAAACACCAATGAAGAACCACCATCATCAAATCGATCAATTGGCATCGGGCACACAAAGAATTCAGTAACCTGCACCAATCAGAAACCACTTGGCTAGAGACCAATCAGAAGTCAGGACACCTGGCTATAAAAACAGGAGCTCTGTCACTCCCTGCTCAGTTGCTTGTGGTATGCTTGGCAGATCACTCTACCTCTGAAGATGCCAACCACAGTTCCTGGTGAAACATCAGGAAATCTGAAACCCACCTCTGCCCAACAGCTACCCAATGGGAAAACCAACAGCAGGTTATAAATCACTATCTCATTTACTTTTTGTATCAATAGGACGATAGCATTTGGCAGGAGGATTTGCTCTGTGTGTGTGATGAAATGCAGCTACAAAAGGGATAATTCAACCATGAAACCCACCACAATCCTGTGGTTTTTTTGGCCTCCTCCTCCCCCCTCCAACAAAAACCCCTCCTTGGTATTTAGGAAACACACTGAATCTGAAATACTACCC